CATCTCTGTAACAGACTCATTGCAAACGCTTGATTGCAGTTGTTGCTGCTAAGGGTGGCCCAACCAGTTATTAGGTTTAGGGGGCGAACACTTTTTCACACAGGACCATGTAGTTTTGGATTTTGTTTTAAAACGGCATGTTGTTCACTTGTGTTATCTTTTACTAATATTTAAATTTAAGCAGAAACATTAAAGTGTGACAAACGTGAAAAAAAAAAAAAAAAAGAAAACAGGAAGGGGGCCAACACTTTTTCACACCACTGTGTATATATATATATATATATATATATATATATATATATATATATATATATATATATATATATATATATATATATATATATATATATATATATATATATATATATATATATATATATATATATATATATATATATATATATATATATATATATATATATATATATATATATATATATATATATATATATATATATATATATATATATATATATATATATATATATATATATATATATATATATATATATATATATATATATATATATATATATATATATATATATATATATATATATATATATATATATATATATATATATATATATATATATATATATATATATATATATATATATATATATATATATATATATATATATATATATATATATATATATATATATATATATATATATATATATATATATATATATGCAGTTATAAATTGTCCAGCTAACAATCCAATATTTTATATAAATAATATATTTTAAAAATTATATCCATTTATATATAAATCATTGGGAAAATCAAAAAATATAATGCATTCAAAAAATCTATAATATATTTACGTTTTACTTATGGATGAATGTGACCAGATATTGTAAGAAAATATCCAAAGAATGTGGAAAACATTCATAATAAAGAGAATAATTGTGTACCCGCAGATGCTAAAACATTCTTCTTTGTTTCCGTTTTTTCATCTTGCATTTTTCAGCTCCCTGTTTTCCTCCTTGAATAATGTTGACAGTTTTTGCACAGATGGCAGATGCATTTTGTCAGACCTTTAGACATTAGTCGTGTGTCTGTTTGTGGGTCGCCTCATTCCTGTGTGTGCACGTGTACGCCGTGTGTTGAACACAAAAGTCCTGCTAAATCGACTCGATCACGGTGAGGAAACTGCAACTTGCAGTTCATTAAGAAATTAATGAAGTCTTTTTACCCTGCAGTCAAGTAATACAAGTTCATAGCATTCATTTTACTTCAGCTTGAAGCAAGACAGAGCATTAACAACTGATTTATGTAAGGGAATTTTAAGGAGGTGGTGCAGTTTTGTTCTCTGTGTTTTTAAACCAATATTGCAATGCCTTCCTACCCAAACTTTTTTGTTTATTTATATTTTATATTCATTTCATATTCTGAAAACAATTGTACCATCTTCCACGTACACACAATTTTCCTTCTTGTTCCTTATGGCAGACTTTCTCCTATGACTCACCTGAGCGTGAAATCGTCTGTCTTTGGACACCCCGGCACCCTCTAATGCACCCCAAGGCCCTATTGCCACCCCCCATTCCCCCTGCAGACCCCCAGCCCACTCACTCCCTCTGGCACCCACATACAAGAGGGAGGGCCGCTGGTCTGGACTCTTCATCTCTTTCATTCCACAGATCGTTTAACATTTCATTACTGCAGCCAAGCGCAACCTCAATGTCAAGATGACTTTAGTAATGTTCAAAACACATCTTTGTTCCGGCAGCATGTTGTGAGAAGCATACCAGCATAAGATTGCCTCTCCTTCCACTTTGGATCATTATTTTATCTTTTTATAAATAATATGATGAAATATATTTTACCCTGTTCCTTTGTCTGTCTTCCTGCATTTTTAAACAAAATTATTTTGATGCAGATGATCTGTTTCCACTTTGAAATCCAACAAAAATGTCACTGGAGGCTGTTTTTAGCCCCTCTCAGTTAGAACAGCCAATTTGAATACTTGAAAATTCTGATTGAGAATATCTTTTATGATCTTCCTTCCTCTAGTTCGAAGAGGCCAGTGGGCATGGGGAGCATCCTGAATCGCATCGGAGCCAAAAAGCAGAAGATGAGCACTTTGGAGAAGTCTAAGATGGACTGGGATGCCTTTAAAACAGAGGAGGGCATTTCAGACGAGCTGGCAATCCATAATCGAGGCAAAGAAGGGTATGTTTAAGCCTCATTAGTGACCCAGACAAACACATCATCTCATATTATCTCCCATTAGTGTCTCACACTAGCTTCTGAGATTTTCATCAGAGCTGAATAAATATCATTAAGTGCTTAAAGCCACAGTGTGCTGGCATATTATGTTTCGGTGCAATTTTTATAATACATTACAATTCATTAATTATGCACTGATGTAGCGATGAGCATTTGGAGAAATTGTGTAGTGAGTACAAAAAAGTAGATTCTATTCTGGCCAAATTATGAGTCATTCCTTACTGTTTCTCTGTCAGAAGATCTGCACTGTCTCTTGTTGGTTTTACTGCATACGTACATGTGTAGGAGAGATGTGGGTGTTAAATATGTGGCCTCACAATGCAGGTGTCTGCTCACACACATCTGATTGGTTTATTGGGGAATGAACTACATGAAGAAATATACAGTAGGGTTTAAATGAGTCCACTTGTGACAGTTTTTAATTCATTTTTTATTTTTAGTTTAAAACTTTAGGCATTACAGTAACGCATAGCAATAGGTGAAAAGTTGGATAGAATAGAATGGAATAGAATAGACAATAGCACACGTTACACAAGTAAAACCTGATGGTCTTTTTTGATCATTTATTTTAGTCAGTGTTTTGATAGTTTTGTCATGTCATATTCATTCATTTGAATAATTTTCACTTAAAATGGTATTTAATTTTAGGCAATGCATTTGGGTGAGCTAATTAACCCACTTGTAAAGTGTTTACTGGTGTTCACTTAGTGTTCAGCTTCAGCTGTTACAGTTTATCTGCCAGCATTATTGATATTGATTAGGTTGAAAAAACATTTTATTTTTTTTTTTTTGGTTTTATATTTCTCGTTATATGTTTGCCAACAGTATGTTTTAATTAAAATAATTTAATTACCGTCATGATGCACACTCTTCTTCGCAATTGTTGACGGAATGAAAAAACTTTGTAAAATTGAGATTATCATTGCCCTCCAGCTTGGTCTAGGATCAGTATTCAGTAGATCTGCAGAATGAATGGAGTGGGAGCTAAGCCGATAGCACTTCATTTAAACCTGCTTATCTTGGCCTTGATGGCTATCTTGAGGAGAAAGAGGTGAAGAATAGGACTTTACTCAAAAGCTGATGATGCAAGGCTGTACCAAAAAAAGCTTATGTGAACCAGGGTCAAGTAGTTTAAAGTAGTGTTTACAGGAAGTTAATGAAATACTGCAGTATTGACTTCTCACTTTTATTACAGCAGTTTCATCATGGTTCTCGTTTGTGCTGGAATTGAAAGCTTAGTGGGATTTAAAACCAGAGAAACATTGACGTAAACTGTTTAATAGGTATTTATGATTCTGCACTATTTCCAGGTACTCAGATACTTGTGATAGTCATGCGACTCTTTGTATAGATAGTCAGGCGTTCTTTGTCCATTAAAGCTCAAGATGATCTTTGAATCATCTGCAATCATGCTGGAGAACATTCGTGTAAACTTAAGTTCAACTTTACGCCAAATCCCTTTGTAGAAAAAAAACACTTGTCATGAAAAAAGCTGCTTTAAATTAGAAAAATGCTAATTTGAAGCTTTGTCACAAGTGGACTCTTTTGAACGCCTTTGTTATATTAGTATAGTTTTGGCTGACTCCTAGTTGACGAATCAGAAGTGTGTGGGACATTCTAGCCCACGTCTTCTATACGATATTCAATTTTAAAGCTGCAGTCCATAAGTTTTGCCTCTTTGTCGCCATCTCTGGTTGAAACCTGCAATTGCAGTTACTTACTGAATTATCTTCCTTGCGTGGGTTGTGCTCCGGCACGGCTCCAGTGTGGATGAATCTAATGTTTTGAGTTGAATGTGTGGTTGTCAGTCACCGCACCGGTGTGGATACTGTTACTTAGGAATCACAGATTTTTGCCTACGTCTTGGAATATAACACAAATAAGAATTTTCACTGGATATTGTCGTCAGAACAAGTAACAAGTCTGCCATGTTTGTTCTGACCAACTGAGGGGAAAAAAGCATTACAATAAATCGTGCTACCAATGGTGATTTAATCTAACGATCGATTAGCTCATATCACATCAAACCGTGCAAATTATTATTATTGTTATACTTTGTTCTCAAATTGTTAATGTTAACAACATCAGCATTGCGTGACTTGTGTTTATAGTGTGTATTAACATGTAGATTTAAATTTCTGTACAGTCTAATCTCTAATTGTCATAACATTCAAATTTCATATTAAGAAATTCTTTTAACCCAAAAAGCATATTATGCTCCCTTCGAACTGGTTGTCTTTAAAATACAAATCTTGTGTAATCCCAGGCTATCTGTAATCAGATGCACATTTAAAACTGGAATAATTTAATTTCAGTCACATATGTGTTTCATAAACGCATAATCCTTAATGGATTACAATCCGCCATCAAAATTATACATTTAATTATTCCAGCTGCTGTGAGATAAGGCTATAAACGATCCGCCACTTGCAGGATCCTCACATGCGATTGCCTAGTAGCCGGGACTCAATCTTTATGTTTACAGACGTGACGTAATGACGCAGCAGCATGCTCGAATTTCCTGTGAAAACCTACCCGTACTACTCAACTTAGAAAACATTATTATAAGATTACCATTGTGAATCGGGCTGAAGTAAAGCGATGGTTTTGAACACTGGCTGGTTATGCACTTGCTCAAATATTGATTTCGGATAATTTTTAACCAAAAAAAGTTACGGACTGCAGCTTTAAACACATGAACGGGCCATTATTTTTTTTGCTTCCATTTCATTCCATCATAGTAATAAATAAAAAATGCAAGAGTAAAGTCATATTATAAATGCTGTTCTCACCCTCCTTTGCCTAATATTAAGGATGGGGTTTCTGAAAGAGGTTTTCATTTTGGTAACAGACCCTTTATCGATTCCCTCAACATACTTCATTCATCTCAAATGTATAATTAATACCTAACAGTCAACAGTGAAAAGGTTTACGCCTGCTCTAATGGAGACTAAGTGCATATAGAGATGATAGAGTGTGAACCGTACTCTGTATGGACGGTTTCTTTACATAGCGAGCTAATTTTTGCTTGTCCCCAGGGTTGCTACCACAAACCTAAATACATGGTCTTTTCTGGCAAATTACAACATTATGATACAAATTATGATGTTTAAGAGATTGAAAATAAAGTTCATAGATTAAGTATACTTACCCTGTCAGGACCGACTGTAGTGCTAGTAATCTACAGATCAGTTTTTAGACTTCAAAAGGCTTTGGAAATTAAACAAGACCATAATTGAGATCTGCATACGCATAGTTTGTGTCTCTCCACTCTACGGTCATGGTTAGATTTCATTCATAGTGAGTTTAGGAGGAAGTGAAATCTTGGTGGAACATTTGTTTCCCATCAAGCTTTTGGTGATTGCGCACCGATGGGTTTGTTTCAGGAGGTGAGTAAATGTGAGGTCTCTTGGGTTTCATGCCACAGCTGCAGCTGTAGGTTATCTCAGTAGTGCATCAACTTTGTTGCTGTCTTGCTTTCCTCTGAGTCGTGAATACCCCTCTAAACTAGCCCTGTCCCCATAGTTACAGTGCCACATTTGTGCGACGTTACCCCACTCCCAAGATGCATTTGGTGTAAAAACAAGCAGGGAGATGTGGGAGGAGAAACTTGCATCTTGTCCTGAGGGGATGGTGATATATAATGACATAATTTGTGCATCCAGTTGCCATTCTGTTTTACTCCCTTACCATGCATTTGTCAATTAAAAAAACTATTTCAGCCAAAACTTAGTTTTATCATAATTTACTTTTTTTTTTTTCTCCATTCATACAATGATGGTCAGTGGGGTCCATTGTTGTTTTGGACCCAACTGACTTTCATTATATGAACAAGAACAGAAAACATCCTTTCAAATCTGAAGAATATCATACAGGTATGCAATATGTGATTAAATGATGGCAGAATTAAAATTTTTAGGTAAACGTTCCATTTAAATATCTCTGCACACTTAGCACTGATGCCCTGGCTTTCCTAAAAGAGCCTGATGCTCCTCATATTTAATATATGGATGAAAAGAACTGTTAGTTCTCTATCAGACAGTTGTAGGGAGTGGAACAGTTACTAAATTAAAAACCTGGCCTGGGGGTTTAAAAATAAAGCAGACAAAATTATGGTCTGCCACTGTTTCCATATTTCTGTTTCTCTGAGAGGGATGTGGTTTAAGAGGAGGATTGCTGAAGGGTGTGGAGGACGCATAGACCATAGAATAGCATAGTGCACAGGCCGCTCGGCCAAACTGTATGCCCACAGGACTGTTTTCATTGTGAGAATGATGGTTGAAGATCTTATTTTTTCACAAAATGTAGGACAAGAAATGCACCCAGATCTGTCAGAGCTAACACAGTTTGTAAACCCAGGGCCTCATGTCTCTGGAGGCAAATGGTTGGTTGGGCATCAGAGCTTCCAGAGCATCATGGGATTGAGACACAAGGGGGAACAGAGTGGACATGTGACGGATTGTGCTCTTCAAATTCTGCAGGCAGGATGCACAATTGCAAGTGTTTACAGAATTTAACTAGGTAAACAAAAAACTAAAATAGCTTTAAATGGGTCATATCATTAAAAAAAACAACTGTTCCTTCATTTAAAAAGAATTTAGTACGCTATTGAATTGTGTACTGTATTTTTTAGAATGCAAAACTTCCTTCCAACAAAATTATCTGTTCAAAGATGGCTATTCTGTGTTTAGAAACATAATAGGAAACATACTGTTATTCCTAGATGGACAAATTAAAAGAGTAAAATGTGGAAAAGCCTGTGCTGTTCTTGGCTGTGTGTAGCACCTACTGCTCTGCAGATCCTCCAGATGAGTCCCTGATAATTTCACTTTAACATGAACAGGTTGAGAGTCATATTTGATTATGTAAACCTGCCGCAGTGAAATTGCACAATGCATTTCTTTAAAAAAAAAAAAAGAAAAAAAGCTGGCATTAAAAAAGGGGCAGCACAAGCTATATTGGACCCAACAGCAAACCTTTAGCCCATGTGTAAGCACAGCAAATTGCTTTCTCATTCCATATGCAAAAAGGGCATTTACATAGAACTCTTAAAGGCAGAGCAGGAAAAAATACCAGTGCAATGGTAAAGGTCAGAGACAAGGGGAAAGTGTGCATAAATTTATTACTGTTTTGATGCCAAAAATTGACTATGGATATTATGTACATAAATTATGGGGTGCTGTGTGTACATTAATGAGGAAAAAAAATTAACAAATGATTTTAGCAAATGGCTGCAATATAACAAAGAGTGAAAAATTTAAGGGGGTCTGAATACTTTCCGTACCCACTGTACATTAAGAGAAAAAATTAAGAATTAAAGTGTCACTGAAACCGAAGTATCAACAGCTCTTATCGTGTGTATTGTGATATACAGTTGAGTGCATAATTATCAAAACATTTTTATTAATAATAATTATCAAAAAAGAAAATATGTATGGCGGGGACTTAAATCCATCGGTTGTTTTTTGGGCGTTGCACTCAAAATGTGTTGGCAGGTGAATGTATTGTAAAGGTACAGTGTTTGAATTTAAGTGACCTTTACTAAAACTGAATTACAGCTAAATAGAAATATAAAAAAAAACGAATAAAAACGACAAACAAGCAAACAAAGATAAACAAACAAATAAATAAAACATGCATGGAATCATCCACAACGAGATCAATAGCATTTAAAAAAATTGTAAAATTTATAAATAAAATAAAATAAAAAGCATTATATGAGCCATTTAAACCCACTGTGTTGCTCAAATCAGATTGCGTTTGTAAGTATGTGGGTGTTTGTGTGCGTTTCACAGAGATTCCATTAGGACTTCAAACAAGACACAGGCAATCAGTTTTTGCTCTCCGTCTTCTTTTCATCATTGGTAGGGGCGTGATGTGGTATCTAATAAAATGTTCAGTCTCTACTCCATAGCCTCACACGTCTGCGTTGCAGCTGCTCCAAGGGTTTTCCTAGTGTGCACAGTGCTCTACACAGCAATTCATTTAGACCTCACATAAAGCTTTGTGTGAGAGATGCCCTTCTCTGCTGATCATCAGTCAGCTCCCTGAACCTAAACCCAGACTATTATGAGCAAAACCACAAAACCAGATGATGTCAGCCTGAAAGGGCCATTTTATTTTCTTTGTCCTCAGCATCTGCTCTTACCCTGAGTCTTGTGATGACAATAAACAGGGAGGCTGAATACATGCACCTATAGCCTCCGACATCTAATGGATACAGGTTCACTAAAGCCTCTATTGTGTTGTCTAAGTCAAATTCTGGCCTTTGATCATTTGAGCTTGCCTTTATGCAATATAAATATCCAACGTGTGGCTTTCTTTCCTCTGTGGATGTTTTTTTAAAAAACGTTTTTTGTTTTGTTTTTTAAATGAAATTGGACCCCATCGACTTTCAGTACATGGACAAAAACAGAAATGTTTTTTTTTTCAAATACTTTTGTGTTCTGCAAAAGAACTGAAGTCATGCAGGTTTGGAGCAACATGAGGGCAAATAAATATTTCAAAACCTAAACTAGGTTTGTCAGAAAAGGAAAACATCCAAAATCTGAAATTCTGTGGCCCTTTACAATTGCAAACCACTTGTGACCGGTAATAGCATCGTGAAGCCAGCATGCCTAAAAAAAGAAACAAATATGTGTGTGAAAACACTTTACCACCAGAGTGCTGACATTTACCAACACCCCACTGTCCCCACTCACCGCCGTTGTGCTTCATTCCAAGACACAATTGGAAACGGCAACAAAAGCGCCGAAAGAAGCTTTAGAAATGCATCACTGGAGATGTAGTGTGTAACAGTTGCAAAAAGATGATATTGGGTGTATGCAGTCATTGAACTCACACAGACACAAGATACCGCCAGACCCAGGATTTGCGTCAGTGTCATTCTTGCCAAGTGCTTGTTTACATGTGCTTTCCTTCATCAATATCTCTGTGTCCTCACTGTCTCCACTCTCTGTGTCTCTAGGTACGTGGAGCGAAAGCACTTCCTAGAGCGAGTGGACCACCGGCAGTTTGAGTTGGAGAAGAGTGTGCGTCTGAGCAACATGAAACGGTGACACGAGGAGAGAGCAGATACATTCACTGATCAAAACACAGACTCTCATATTCACACACACACCCTGCATACACTCTCAGTTGTCTTTGTCATATAGGTGGAATGGCCTGTAGCCCCCCCAAAACAAAAACTGGTCTGCCTTCACAATCTGAATGTACAGCTCCCATATTGTCTTTTCCTTCTTCTGCTCTTCCTTTGTCCAATATTGCATGTCCAAGTTTATCAGGGCTTCTTTAATATGAAAGAGGAACAGCTCAAGATGTTTTTCTTCTCAAGGAATTCCTCAAAAACCAAATTTTATAATTCATTGAGGTACATCCTAACCATTCAGTAAGAGTGACATTAATGGGAAAGAAAACCTCATTAAGATGCACAGATTAAACTGACTACTTTGTTCTGACAGTGAGGATTTTTTGTAATTGTAAACGCCCTATAGTGATGCTGTTTACACACAGGCATTCAGGTATATTCTTTTATTTGATGGTAAAATGAAAGTGCAGTTGTTTTTGTTTTTCCCATGCGTACTTACTACTGTCTTAACAATTTATTTTGTTAAGAGTGGTTGTATGGTAATTACCCCGCCGTCATTTTAATCGTGTTTCACTGACAGAAATAAATCATGTCATTGAGTTTGGACACTTTCTTTTTAAATGAACCGTGTCTTGCTGTTAATTATTTTGACCCATTAATTACTTGCGCCACCTCTTATGGCTTTCCTCTTCCCCATCCCTCTTTGCTAGCTCATGCCCCCCGTGACTCTGTATACAATTTAACTCCACCCCACCACTGTCCGGTATTATTTTATTTATTTATTTTTTTAAATATCATCTTGGAAAGGGATCAACAGGGTTTAAGTCACATATCTCTGAATCATTGTAGCAAGTCGTGCATGAATCCTTCCCCTTTTCAAGACTATAATAATCTGCTAGATCTTTTTCTGACAATGAAAGTCCTGTAGTTGCAGAATTTCATCATTTAAAAAAATGTGTGCCACTTGACCATATAAAAGGTGTGTGTTTTGAGTGGTTTTTATTGCATTGCTAAGCAGTTGCGAGGGTGTTATGGTTGATTGCTTGACCCCAAAAGCGCATGCCTTAATCTTTATGATATTCTCATCTCTCGATATGGCTTGGTGTCTTTTTTTTTTTTATTCAATGTCTGAGATTTTTTCACTCATTTTATCATCCTCCAGGCAAAATGGTAAACCATATAATATAGGAAAGTAATAGCACACCTCTCTTGCATGATTTGAGGCATCTTTTTTTTTTTTAAAGAAATACTTGTATTCAGCAAGGATGCATTAAATTAATCAAAAGCAGCATTTAAAACATAAACATATGACAAAAACAATATGAGCAAAATCAATAAGTATATATATTTCAGACTAAATCGCAGTACTGTTTGTTTTTGATGCGTCAATCTTCAATTTGTTATTTTTCCTGAAAAACCATGTTGGGTCTTTTGATAGCATGGGGGTGGTAACTTGTTCATCCTTTAACTTGAAGATAATGGTCTTGTTTCCATAATTCAGTCTTCCCTCTGTCTGTGCGTAGGCCTGTGTGGGCACAAAATTTGTTTACTGCCATTTCCTGCTGCTGGACTACCGTTTAGAAGGATGTTCGATGTGTTCCACGCATCTCTCCAGATTTCTGTAATTGCTGACCCCCACAGCAGTCCCCTGCCTCACTGCTGCATTGCTTATTTCCCAAATGGAGATAAGTAGCTGGTCTGTGCTCTGATGTTGTCCTGTGCAAACATCAGACTCTGCAGGTGGGAATTTGAATGATACTGGCATAATTTCCTCACTTTATCAATGTTCTCAAAGCTGAGCACTGTGAGCTTTTTGTGTTTCACACCAATAACTCGGTACAGGCAGAAATAAATAAATGTGCCTACATTAGCATACAGAAACAATCAGATCAAAACGTACATGGCATTTGCAGGTACTCCATGCATAGCTGTACTCTTAATGAAACGGTACACCCCAAAATGAAATTGTGTCATTTACCTACCCTCATGTTATTTCAAAACTCTGTGATTTTCTTTCTTCTGTGGAATATAAATGAAGATATTTTGAAGAATGTTGGTAGCCAAAAAACAAGGACAAAACATAGACATGAGGGTGAGACATAATGACATATGTGACCCTGGACCACAAAACCAGACATAAGGGTCAGTTTTTCGAAATTGAGATTTATACATCATCTGAAAGCTGAATAAATAAGCTTTCCATTGATGTATGGTTTGTTAGGATAGGATGAACATTTTTTAGGATGAAAATCTGGAATCTGAGGGTGCAAAAAAGTCAAAATATTGAGAAAATCACCTTTAAAGTTGTCCAAATGAAGTTCTTAGGAATGCATATTACTAATGAAAAATTAAGTTTTTATATATTTGCGGTAGGAATGGAACATGATTTTTGGCATAAAAGAAAAATCAATAATTTTGACACATTCAATGTATTTTTGGCTATTGCTACAAATATACACGTGCTGCTTAATACTGGTTTTGTGGTCCAGGATCACATATGTCATAGTAACATGAGGGTGAGTAAATGATGACAAATTATTTGTTTTGGTCCCACTTATGTATTAAGTGGCCTTAACTACTATGTACTTCAATTTAATTGAATCATTTGGTACAATGCAATGTTTTTACATTGTACTTAAATAAATAAAAAATACCTGCATATAGTTAATTTCTGTAATTACATATATAGTTACACTGTTGACTCATCCCTTACACCTTAACCCACCCTTAAACCTACCCATACCACCAAACCTGTCCCTAACCATACCCATAACCCACCACACCATGCAGCACAATATGAACACCCCAAAAATGAAAATTGTCATTATTAACTCACTCCTGTCTTTTTCACTTTCTGTATTCTGTGAAACCCAAAATGTAAATTTGAGTTCTATCCTGGCCACTCTTTTCAGTATAATGAATGAGGATGCGAGCTGCAGAATTTCCAAAATGACAAAACAGAAACATGAATTTACTAAAAAAAACAAAAAAAACCTGATATTCACCTTGTGCTTCATGAGAGAATTCAGATTCATGAACGAGCCATCTTTTCAGTCAGATCTATCCAGTGAAATTGCGAACCAATGAATTCACAAAACCTGAGAGATTTGTTAGTTCTGTTGTTCCATGTTTAATTCCATCTATGGACCCGTTTCATAGACTGTGATGACACGTTTCCACAGTTATTAACATCATAAATCTAGCAACGTTTTTTGTTTTCATTTTTAAACTTTTAATGTACATGTATAACGCTATGCTTTGCTTTCTTACCTTGGCATTAAATTACATAAAACTATTTAACGCTACTGTGTGACTTTCTAAAATTTGACATCATTGTCTCTTTTAATCATTCTCTCACCCCCCCAACCCCCCACCACACACACACTTTTTTTTGCTATTAGGGGCAAATACGAACAAAAAAATAAACTTCTTGTAGTTTCTGTTCACTATAGAAGTTTATCCAACTTTGATGACTTCCACTCTGAGAACCCCGGAAATGTGAAAAGGGTCATTTTCCTATAGTTCACAGCTCATTGAATTATCTACTATTTTATGTTTGGCTTCAGGAGGCTGATGAGTTGTATCATCATATATTTTGTATACTTTTGTGTCCTTTTTGAAGCTTGAAAGTCCCTTGTTTAGACCAACGTGAGGGTATGATGACTGAATTTTCATTTTTGAGTGAAATTTAAAAATGCACGTAATGCATATCACCCTTTCCACGTGAAGGCAAAGTGGGAGTATAGTGAGGTAGCCACACTCATTTTTATTCATGTCCTCCCCTGTCCACTCAAAGTTGATGGAGTGGAGAGTAGCCTATCATCCTCATCTTTATTCAAATGCACCGGTCCTCTCCTGATTTTACTTTCTTCTTGGTTCTGAACACTGCTGTTAGCTCCTAAATAATGCCTTCATCCCTTCTGTCACTTTTTAAATTTTTCCATCGCTTTCATCTTCCATTACACTTAGACATGTTGATGACACAAGTCTGATTTTCACTTTGCAATTGTCTCTGCCATTATCATTAACTTTGACTTCCACTTCACAAGACTTTTTCCTTTCCTGTCATTTTATACTTGCATTTCCCCTCTCTATTTCCTCATCTTATTTCACTTCTTGGGGACATAACTTGAGCGATTTCAGAATAGTATAACAAACTGTCAGTTATTAGAATGCGCTATGTATAGAGTCAAACAAGCAGACCAAAATGGATCCAATCCAATGCATCCACATATCCAATACTGCGATGGAGGCATAGACCCTTAGTAGTGTCCTGTATAAAAAGACCTTTCTGGAGCAACATGGCCTTAGGTGTCCACTCGGAATTCCTGTAGCGTATATATAGCACAAACTTCACCTCCAGGCATGTGTAGCTGTCTGTCACCAAGTGCATGACTTCAAACAGGGGCAGAAACCTTAAAAATAGACAGCGCTGTTGAGAGGACAATTATAAACAATCACTGTGATGAGAACCTAAAATAACAGCTGGCTAAAATGTTCCAAATGCCTCTTACCTCCAGGTCGCCAGAGTTAAGTGCAGCTTTAAAGCACTGCTGGGTATTTACTACTCCCTATGTGTAAGCTACAATAAAATGATTTCCTCCTACATTTTCAATGCATTGCCTGCTGAACTATATGGTTTGCCTTTAAGGTTAGTACACTTTTTTTTATGACCTTGATAAACATTCTTGTCTTTTTAGAAATCTGCAGTATTAGCATTTTTCTACAGTGGAATCTTGCAGAATGGAATTAAATGTGTTTAAAAAAGCTGAGACTACCACAGTGGTACCTGAAAGCATCAAGTTACCCAAAATATTTACATGCGGAGGTGTCGGATGTACAGTATAGAACTTGATGAATGAGGGGCGTTCCAAATCTGCAGAGTTCTGCCCACACAGATTCTGTATACGGGCCGGCTCAGTGGCTAATATCCAATTGCAGACCACAAGAGAGAGTGTTGTTGTTGTTGTTTTTTTTCTTCATCTTTGCAGTAAATTCAGCCTTGTAACAGTGGACTGGTTTGGCAGCCCACCAAAAAGATTTTTTTTCCTTCTGAAGGTCTTCTTTCCTGTATTTTAGCCCTTTCAACATAGCCAATGTTGGCAGATGAAGGGAGGGAGTGCCATGACACCAATTTAACAGACATTTGAAGATAAGAAGAGGACCTTTGACTTCTTTCACACAGCTGCCCTGTATAATTAAAAGCTATTCACAGTGCTCATGGCATAGCCGTCAGTGAGTAAACTAAACGTCCTCCACAACACGTGCTGTTTGCTAAATAACACAGTTTTTTCCCTAAAGGCCAAATATTTTGTTGGTATAAGCATCTTTTGCCCAATCTGTGTTATTAATGGGTTTTCTTTCAAAGTCAAATGCTAGAATGTTTGCAGCCAGTTTCATCATGTTAATGGGTAATTGCTACTTTTTATACTAAATTTGACTATATATTTTTGTTGTCAAGGAGATTGTGTTTCTGCAGATATGGAGGTTTTCCGAACTATGTTCAGCAAATGCCTCGGGATGACATGAAAACTAGAAATCAGTAAGTTAAAAAAAAATAATTAAACATAATTGGTTATTTTTAAACCAAACCGTCTACATCATCCATTGCTATGATGTGG